ATGTCTGTCTGTCATGCTGTTCGAGATTCAAGCTGTCTTGCTTGCCATGAGGGGTGGGCATCCTACGTGCACCATCGAAGATGGAAGAGAGGTTAGCTAATTTATTCACAGATATAACAAAACATCAATGTGGAAAACTAGTTTTCTTATCTAAGCCAAGGTGATGGTAAAAGTTGTCTACCATGTGTGTGATACCACTTGCAAAGTCTCCCAATAACAAAGTCAAGTTCTTTATAGTTACACTGAAAATTAAGCTTTGGTAAACCTACAGTATGATGATCTGGATGGAATTGACGGCAGTTTCAGAAAAAAGAAGAATTTGGGGTGTGATAAAGGCGCCATTTGCACACGACTGATAACAGAAGATCAGAGACTGAAACAATTGTGAGAGAAGTTCTTATATTTTTCTAATATTTTGTTTTATCTCGTAGATAATTGTAAAACCAAACTTTTCCGTCTTCTTAACTATCTGTACCAATGGAAACAACTTCGAACTTCCTGCTGAGCTTAGGGCGCTGTTCCGTTCTGTTGCCATGGTGATGCCAGACATGTCTTTGATCCTCAGGGCACATTGTGCTGGCCAGGGTTTTAAATCGCCAAAGATTCTAGCTGATCGTCTTAAGTTGGTTGGCGACATTTGCAAAGAGCAGCTGTGAGTATAGATAAATTGGGTAAATAGGTTTTCAAGTAACAAACAGAATCCTCTGTTCAAGGAAATCGTCAGAATTGAATTTGACTGAACATGAGACATAATTGGGATGGCTGTGTTGAAAGCAATTGAAGGCGGTTTGATAGCTTGTGACAAAGGACACTTGACGAATTTACTCTATCATAGCCAGGCGCTTTATACTACGGACATTTACTTTTGAAATGTTGAATGGATTGTTGAAGCCTCAGAAAGAAAGCGGTTAATAATCACTGGGACTTTAGTATCCCGAGTCCACCATTTTCCACCGCTGTCCCTGTTTTGAGGCCAAATACTGATCCGCACTGAATGCAGTTTCACGCTTGCATTTGTGATTTATTTCTCAACAGAAGTGGAAAGAGTCATCACAAATTTAGTTTATCCTCGTTTGTGGGTGTCATTCAACACGCAGGACGCAAACGATCTTCTCAAGGACCACTTGGAGGCAAGCTAAACGCTGCCCAGATTGATCCCTCAAGACCTTCAAGCACCCAGTCTGTTTCTACACAGTTTGGTAAGCTAATATGTGGCCTGTAAGATGCCAATAACAGAATATGCGCAATGTCGATTCCCTTGGCAATTTTAAAATGGTCTATGCAGGCATTGTTTTCTCTAATATTGGCCTTCAAATAGCAAGTGATATTGTGCAGCTCTCCAGCGCGTTCCGGATTGTCGTTTACAAATGGTAATGAGGGTATGCCGTTCACAATATTGTCTCTTCTTGCTGTAGTTCTATGCTCAGAACATGACTGGCTGACTGGTGTGCTGAGAATGATGAAGAAGCACTCTTATGACGCCGTATAAAGAACCTTTGGTTGCTTCCTTCTTACGGGCGCTTTCCGTTTGTCAGAACTAGCCGGCCGGACCATTGCCGGACCAGTCATTTGGACAGTGAAATCGGCTTTTTCCAAAGGTTTTTGTGAAAAACCATCTCCTTCCTGCACACTATTTAGGTTTTGACTGATCTGGCTCGATAGTTTTACTAATGGGGAAGGTTTTAGCCGGTCGGTTCTGACAAATGGAGGACGCCCTCAGTGTGCGTTTGTTATGCGGTCCATATCTTGATAATGTGTGGGGTTCCAGCCTCTTTCTTTTCTGTCAATGGCCTTTCGTATGTTCTATCGTGCTACCTTTACTATTGGCTTTACTATTATTTGCTGATTCAATACCAAGATATAACCATGTCACGTCGGTTCACGTCACACAAAACAACAAACGGTTTCATAATCACGCGAAACTTTGCAAGTCTTTCACGAAAATTTACGAAACCATTGTCATTTGTGAAGCTAGAACCATTGGCAGCTTTGGTATTCAATTTTACTAGATCATAGTGATAAATGATTAGTAGTCTTAGAGATTTTTGTGGTTTCGCAGGTGCTGGCAAGGACAGAGGAAGCCAGTTCGGGCAAAAGGATAAAAAGCCAACTACTCCATCGTCCTTGTCCTCTGCCGCCAGAATGGAGCATGCTTTGGTGTTACAGTCATTGCAAGAATGTATAGGTCCTCGGCTTTCACCAGAGGTAGTATGCAGAAATAATGCGTTAGTTTTACGCTAACCTGTTTACTCACTTTTGGAAGAGCTCTTTCTAATATTTGGACTCCCGGAAAGATCATCGCAGATACGTAAGCAGCTTAGCAGTTGCGGTATGAAAGCCTGGAAAAAAATCAGGCTTACATGTAAACGTAGTTCGCCTGCAAATATAGCCGCCCCTTTTCACTCCCTGCCGCGGCGGAGCTTTCGCCAGAGAGAATTCTGTGTTTTGACCTCAAACATTTCATACTGATGACCTAAATTTGTCCAGAATCTGCACATGAGCTCTGATTGCTTGATTGTGGAATTGCACGCTTCTAGGCATTCTATTGTAGCAAACATTTACAATATTCAGATATTTGCAGTGTTCATAGCTATTTATGCTCCGCCCAATTCGAATTGGTAATACCAGGTAGTTCCTTATCTGTGATTTCCTTTCGCCTTTTAGGAGCTGAACGTATTCAACATGGTTTTACGTGACGTGTTTTATGGCTTACCGAAACCACCTGCCCCACCATACCATCTCACCAAAGTAGTTCAGGACTTTGAAAGCGTTCTTCTAACTCATACAAGGGAAAAAGGGTTTGTTCCTCACCAGCCATGGATTGCAAAAATACACCAACTGTGGACACTTTCTAAAGTCCATCGAGGTGGAGTACTCTTATCCTACACTAGCTATACAAGGCTTTAAGAATTGAGATCCCTTTCACTGCAGTTTGGCTGGTATATGGGATACACAAACTATAGTGTTATTAACGTATGAGAAGACAGAACATTTTGGTGCTCCTGGCCGAAAGCGTTTACCTGGTAAAAGCTAAAAATAGTCGACAGCTTAGCAGAATGGACAGCTCACGAACCACCAGAAATAATAGCGGACATTTTAGACAGTACACTGTCTCCAGTTTGCCACATGGTTGGCGTAAAATTGAATAAGTATTTAGTGTTCACTTCCTTAGATAGCGCGTGAAAATCGTGTGCCCTTCTGCACGCGTGCTATTAAGGCTGTTTCATTTAATTTCTTTCTAGGGATTATCGTGGCTGGACCACCAGGAACGGGCAAATCATCCTGTATCTCAGGACTTGTAGAAACCCTCAGTGAATGTTCCCTCATCAAACATAAGAATACTGGCTCTCCGATGCACTCTCACAAGTTACAAAGAATAAATCCCCTGGGAGTGTCAGATCCCGCTCTCATGTTCGGCAAAGTGAACTCGGCGTCAGATTTTGAGGATGGTATTTTTACAGCGTACTTCCGAAAAGCCAACAAGGAACACAGCGTTCACAAAATGACGACTTGGATTTGTTTAGATGCTCCATTGCATCATGGATGGTCTGAATTTTTGAGTAGTGCCCTGGATAAAGGACAGGTTGTTATTTAATGATTATCATTTAAGGCTACATTTTACACACCCCTTTTTTCGAGTGCCCATTGTCGCGTTGATTTAAGGCAGGTTTCCCCACTATGGTCTCCTTTGTGATTCTTGTGTCGCGTCATCCGTACCTCTCCACGCAAACATATGCTGGCACTGTTCAACTCATTCTAGAAGAATTTTAAAATTGTTCTGTATAGGAGATAAAAACTCTCGAGCTATAAGATAGTCCCCGCTTTTGAAGATGAAGCTTATTTGCCAGTAATCATTTCATTTTCCATCCAGCTATAAGAATGTTTAACGTATCTCCTTTCCCTCTTGCGCTGTTCATTAAGAAGGTTCTCCACGACCTTATGTAGAATTCAAACGTATTGTGTATAGGAGATAAAAACTCTGTCGCTCTAACATGATGCCGGTTATTGGTGGTTTTTGCCTGTAATGATTTCATTTTTCGTCCTCATATAAGAATATTTTGCGTATCTCCTTTCTCATTGGACCATCCTTTACCAGGGTTCTCCACCACCTTATGTAGAATTTAAAAGTATTCTGTTTAGGAGATAAAAACTCTATCGCTCAATGATGACGCCGGGTATTGGTTGTATTTGCCTATTATCATTTCATTTTTCATCCTTCTATAAGAATGTTTGCCCTTGTAGAAGTTCAGTTTAGCCCTTCTGTTGCAGGACGTAGATCGTTGTTTGGCCCTCAAATATATGACCTTTGATCTCTAAACCTATTTATCATCGTCCTATACAGGGCTAACCGGACTTGCAAAGATGGAAATGTTCCTGTCCTTCGTAAAGCGCAATAATTACATGTAATCATTTTCTTCGTAGTATCTGAACTTGTTGAATGGCGAAAGGTTATATCTATCAGAGCACGTGAAGCTGCTGTTTGAAACTGACGACCTGACGGATGCTTCGCCTTCCACTGTTTCTCGTTGTGTAAGTATAGCTTCTCTGTGTTGTGCATGATTTGTCTGATTTGAACAACTTTAATTCACGGGGATATACATTTCTCTTTTTTTAGACTCTACCTCTGTCTCCTTGAATGACGTTATGAAAACTAAACACTGCCACTCGCTTTGCAGAACTATGAAAAAGTAGTATGAATTTCAAGTTGCTAAATTATTGCTGGTTTGCATTTGACGTCACGTCGGCCGTGTCGGTGATCAAGAACAAGAGTGTTTCTCTCCTCTGCGAACTAAATACCACTTTCATGTAAATTATTTAATAAATTTGTTTATTTTATTGACTACCAACGTGGCCGCCTTGTCACGCGGTTGCCAACCAAATATAGCCTTTAAAATGTGGTTCCCCTATCCGTTGGCCCTCTTTACAAATTGTCATTTTTAAGTCCGCGTTCTCGTTCTCGTTTTTCTCGTTTTTTCTACAAGTACGAAGGAAACTATTTTGGAGAGTGGTTTGTTTTTATGTGATATGATTTCCTTGCTTACATCTAGGGTGTTGTGTATATGGATGAAAGTGTTCTAGGATGGCGGCCTCTAGCAGAAGCCTGGCTTGCCAATAGGTCTCCTCAGGAAAGTCATGTGAGTAGATATCTTAGATCAGCCCTGCACAGATCTAGGGGAGGAAGAAAGTTCGTCAACTTAATTTAGACATAAACAGCATTGAAAAAAATTTGACTTGAATCCACAGTAGAATAGAAGGGATGGAATTGACCTTTTTTGGGCAGAGATACATAAACGCGAGTGACGTCATGACCTTTTGTCTTCATCCTATATGTTTAATCTCGTTCACCAGTTTGATCGGTTTTAGATCAACGATGTCGTATTTTATTTAAAATTGAGTGCAAGTTCTATTTTCTGTTTCCACTTTTTTCACTAGTGTCTACAACGAGCATTCAACAAGACAGTAGATGTAATCTCACAATTTGTTCAGTACGAAGCAAGGTTCGTTGTATTTTCTTTGTTTTATAAGAAAGGCTCGTATAGGTCAATTGAAACGTGGATAAGTTTTTAAATGTGGGAATGATGCAAACATCTATTTGCAAACCTGTGCTTTGTCGAAGCTAATTTATGGACACCAAAGGGACGAAGCGAACTGTCCGTATCATAGAGGAAGGGGATGTATGAAGTTTGTTGGAGCCTTTGGCCCCTAGCAGAACAGTCCTCAATATCGAAGTGTCTGTGAGAGAGGTTCAAATTTATATTTATGTCGCAAAGTTTCGCTATTTCCTGTTTGTCTCTGGGGGATGAAAAACCAGCTTATAGTATGAGCAATCTGTTAACACACTTAACGAAATACTTTTGTGTTGCTTTTTGTGTTTCTTCAGACCATTTATGAAAATCTGTGAAGTAGGATTGTTCAACACATGCCTTGCAATGTTAAAGGCCTTGATTGAGGTAAACTTGTTAATGTTTGGCGCTGTAAAATCTACCAGTATTGGTACACCTGTAACATATTTCAGTATTTGTTGTATACACACCGCACGGAATTGTAAGGTCTTATGTAAGACCAAAAAGGTCCAAATGGGAAAACAAAACATACAAGTCAAAAAGGTCCATTAGAAAGCTTGACCAAAGCGTCTTCAGCCTCTTTCCGGGCCATTTTGACCTCTACGAGTGAGCAGAGGAGTATTGGAACCAAACGCGATGGTCTTCCGAAAAGCTGAACGGGTAACGTCTCATCTAAACTCGCCGAAGACGACTGAGAAAGAGGATGAAATGTTTAAAAATGGCTTAATTTTCAACATGTTCACTGCCAGGTTACATTGACTTTTGTGAAGACATATTTTAGAGGCCGTGATCCAAATCCTTTAATGTGTTCTCGGCATTTACATTCATAAGCCTTCTCTGCTGCGACATTTTTGCGTCGGTATTGATCGTTTTCCTGTATTTTATAAATAAAACGAGAATTTCCATTGTGGTTTATCAGTCGTCCCCCAAACATGTGCCATATACTACTCACGAAAGACAACTTAGGAATAGGTTTCTAAGGAAATAAGGTCATAAAGAAAGTTGCTCCTTTTTCTAGGGTAATACTGACATTGGTGGCGAGCTCCATATAGAGAGGTTATACCTCTTCTCACTGATTTGGTCTTTCGGAGGACTCCTAGATGAACCAGACAGGAAGAAGTTTAGTGAGCTTCTCCTCTCACTAACGACAGCTCTGCCAGATTATGACCAAGAAATCTCAGTGTTTGATTACTATGTTGACGAGTCTGGCGAGTGGGATCCGTGGCAGTCAAGGTTGGTTAAAGTTTAATACATGGCTTCCGAGTCTCACACAGTAACTGTTTTTTAACGATATTGTTTTCTGGACATTCCAGTCCCTGACAACAAACAATTAAAAAATCAATAAAGTTTTTGTCAGTTATGAAAATTCCTTCACGTCGTTGTGATGCCATGCCATTGATGAATGAAATTAGAGCGCTAGATCCCCTTTAGTCCGTTATTTTTTCTGTATGACCCGGATCAAGTGAGTGATTATTTTTGGCCTTAAATAAATAGAGTTCCAGAAGTGAGCTACTTTGATGCATCCGATCTTCTTGGAGAAGTGTTCGTGGACACAATTGACACAGTAAGTGAATGATTGAAATTGAGTTTTAATGGCTTGTTCTCCACGATAGGATCTGAACGATCCTACCTACCGTAATGATTGTGTGGAAGTCATTGATTTAGAAATGAGGACTAAAATCGTGAACAGTCTTGGGACAAATTTTCATTTGTGGCGTTTTTTTTTTCAAACCAACCTTGCCTCCCAACCACCCCCTCCCCCCCCATACCCCACTGTACCTGTGTATCCGAAAGTTTTCCTGAGTTTATTTTTTTTTTTGAGGGTGGGAAAGGGAGAATTGCAAGACATTTGTGAAAATATAGCTTTCGTTTGTAAAGGTATTTTTAAATAACGGATTGTTATGAAAATTTCATCATGGTCGCCAGCCTAAAGGGCATTTCTCCCTGATTGTAGCTCAGTCCTATCTTGTTTTAGTGTATTCTCTTCGAACGCTGAAGTGCTTTTCTTTTTAGCGATCTTAGCGACTGCAAACCAGCCTTCGTTACGAGGAGGTAAAATCCTAAATTACCGCTATGAAAAAGTACCTATTAAATAACGTAATGTTCGCTTTCTTTAAGATTCGTACTCGACAGTTCATGGAGCTGGCAAGCGCGTCTGGTAGACACATTTTACTGACAGGTCCAGCAGGATGTGGGAAAACCTCACTCATTGCTGATTTCTTGGACAAGCAAGGTACGTTTGAATCCAGGGTTTAAACTGTGTTGGTGCGTCAGTGCGTGGGGTGTAAAGGAAGAAGGTTTGCCACCTCTTAGGTATACAGAAGGTGATGTTTCAAGCGTCAACCCTTTGTCAGAGCGAATCAGGTAATCGTAGATTGTTTGTGGTTTCGCCAAATCGAAACGTCAACTCGCAATCCCCTCATTCACTCTGACCATGGGCCAACGTTCGAAACGTCACTTCTCAATCCCCCACTATGGCCAATCTACCTTATCCTGTGCCACCAGATTCTGTATTTTATCCAGATGGCCCTGTCTTTTTATCTTGTGGTTTGAGAATCATGGATGGTAACTACAGTCCTAATCTTGAAAAAAAAAAAAACTTCTTAATTTATTTGCTTATTTATTTACTTTAATCCTTGAAAACAAGCCTTATAATTGCAAGGTATACTTCTGAAAAGATTTTATTGGAAAGTTCGCGCTACAGGATATCAGTTTTGACAATATTTTAGCTGCTAGATCATGCTTTAATGAGCATTAACTGAAAAGTACCTTCAGTTTCATTTGTAGTCCTGAAAAAGGGAAAGAAATCGTAAGAGTTGACGAGAACAAAGGTAAAGTGAACTAGAGATAAACACGGCTAGGTTCAATGAATTGAAATTATACTGCGTGCCACCAAGTTCCCCAATTCTATTGCCATTCAACCCCGTCCCTATCCCTGTTACCCTATCAAAACTACATATATAGTTTTTTTTTCTCTATTGAATTTGTATTTTTAGTGGCACGCTGCACTTGTAGTCTTTGTAGCAGCTGTTTCCTTTTTCAAAGTGCACGAGACGCAACAATTCATGGGACGTGAAATGGTTCTCTGGTCTCAGAAAACGAACGCTATGCAGTCTAGAAAGAATATCAGCAACATATCGATATTTCTACGTAACATACTTTTATTTTATTTTCAGAGGACAAGAATCAAATCGTCAAACGGTATGTTTATTCTGGCACCTCAGGAGCTTCTTCATTACAGCAGTTTGTGGAACAAAACATTTACCACAGGCAAGGTGAGTGCAAGCTTTAACCTGCGATCAGGCGGTCCTTCTTCGCTTTTTCAAAAAAGAAAAAAAAATGAAGAAGACCATCTTTGCTGCGTGCATTCGACAGTTTTCGAGGGTAGACACTATTGGTTTTGTATTTAACAAAATGGCTGATCAACTAATTTAAACAGCCTTTGCAAAATCTTAATTGAAATAAAGAAAACGATGACCAAGGAACACGACTAAAACTCTTTCCGAGCAAGGTGTATTGAAGATGTATATAATTTAATGCAATTTCCGTGTATGGCTTCCTCATAGGTTTCGTGTATGGAGCAAAGAAAGGAAAAGTACTGAACATGTTTATCGATGACCTTAGTCTGCCACGGACAGATGAATTTGGAACCCAGGAGGTCAATGAGGTGAATACATTACGTCTTCAAATATATACGCCACTTGCACATATCCCATAATGCGCCTTATTTGCCCCCCCCCGTAAATTTTGCAGGGGCATTGTTTCCACTTTCTCTTGGGACGGCTGTAATACCCAGGAGAAATGAAAAACAAAGGTTCTGCAAAATTTGGGGAGGGGGTGGGGGGGGGGGGGAAAATAAGTGGGGTTATAGGAGATGTGTAAGGGGGGTTTTTGTGGATTTTGTTTTTTGCTGGGTTTTTCAAAATCTCAGTCCCCGGGTTACCAACCCGGTTACCAGGTCCCTTCTTTACCCGTTTCAACAGGGATAGATGGTTGGGTTTTTGGTATTATTTGGTAGGCAGCGTAACCATACGTGGAAGTAACATGCATACTCTGTACATCTGAAGAGATCAGGCCGTACCTAAAATGTGAGGGGGAGAAGGGCTGGGGTGGTGAATTGTGTGGTGGAGTGGGGAGGGGGGAGAAAGGAAAAAGAAGGAGGGTGGAAAGGTGGGGGGGGGGGGGGGGGGGGGGGGGGGGGGGCAAATAAGTTGCGTTATAGGAGATGTGTAAGTGGCGTATTTGATGATCTTGTTTATTGCTCGGTTATTCAAAATCTCAGTCGCCGGTGTACCAACCTCGTTACCAGGTTCCTCTCTTACCCGTGTCAACAGGTATTAGAGAACTCTGGGAACGAGGTTGCTGAGACACTTGGTTAGAATGTGAGACAGTGCGTGTAGAGGAGAGGTTTTGACAACGGGATGGTAGTTATCAGACATCAAACTACCCATCTTTGGTTTCAAGGGTAAACTAACCGGCACAAGACCACGCATTTCGCCTGTTTCCAGAGAGTAGTCATGAATGACAGTTAAAGCAGTTGTCTGGGATCTAACCCGTTTCAGGTTGCTCTCAACAACATTTGGTAAATTATGGGAAGATGGAGCATAGTGTCTTTTCTAACGAAAAAAGAGGGCAACGACTCAATAGTTAAATTTCTTTTAGTCTAACTGCTTCACTTTTCAAGTGTTTGCCTAGGAACCATTTTCCTACAACCAAGAAACTTCACTATGCTCTTTGCTTGTTGTGTATTGACATGAGCAATTTATACGTCTGTATTAGCTTCTGAGGCAAGTCCTAGATGAAAAGATCTTGTTCAATACTAAAAAACCGTTTGACCGCCGCGTCTTGGAGGGAGTTGTTGTAACAGCAGCTATGAACATGCAGTCAGAACCAGTGACCAGCGGCACTCATCAACAAATCCCTGAAAGGCTAAAGGTAAGGATACAGATTAAGTAGCAGTTTAGCAGTGATATATATTTTCACTTTATGAATTGTTAATACATTTGAAAATGGCCCATACCGCGAGGGTGATAATTAAACCAACTGTCGGTCCAGGAAGTAGGCTGATTGTCGGTGTTGCAGAAACTATTGTTAGGTAGATTTGGTGGACTGTTGTGAGTGAAGACTGAAAAAGTGTGAGTTAAAAATATTAGAGCTTGTGAATTTTGGGGGTTTGTTGAGATCGTTCGAGATGGTCGTTTGCTTTTCTTTCTTCTGTGCTAGACAATGTTGTAGACTGAAATGAAGAACAACAGATTAAGCTCGACTAAATGTTTTACGAGAAGTCTCATCACAAGGCTGAACGATTATGTCTATGGTCGTCTTACAGAAACACCAGTTTGATATTCTGCCTGCAGCCTTGATTGGTGGAGAGTACCCTTCTCGACTTGGATAATTTTTTCATGTTATCATCAGACTTATTCAGTCATTGTTTATCATAACAATTACGGTTTGTACCTTGCAGCGTCACTTTGCGGTATTCCGTCTGCCTGCTCCCACAGCCGAGTCACTCTTCACCATTGTTACTTCGATATTGGAGGTGTGTTCAAATGGTTCATTCAGTCTTAGTTTAATTTTAGATGTTTAGTCTTCGTTTCATCGTCACTTTTTCTAACTTTGACTCTTTTTGACCACACAGGCCAACATGGCTCAAAATCAAGGCATGGGTCTACCTCAAGAGTTTCACGAACAGATTGTGATGGCATCGTGTACGCTGTTGACCAGCTTGCAGGATGTATTGAGACCTTCACCCACTCCTGGGAGATACCATTACCAGTTCAATCTCAGGGACATTACCAGAGTATTTCAGGTATCGTAGCGAAGTAATTAATAGAGACTGAACAATTCTACTCTCACTTCTTTCAGATGGAAAGGACGGAAGTGAACTAGATACATCCTCACTCTGATCAGTAGATTGAGGCTGTGTTCCCACAGTACCGCATAGCTTTTCGTGGCACAACGAAGAGTATCCGATATAGTATGAACGCCTTTACGATATGTGCATGACTCTCGTCTTTAGAGATCGGCGCCGCGCAGCTTCGCTCCGTTACTGAAATCGCGCCGACATCACCGTTCTTACGTGTGAACGTAAGCCCTATCTGGTATGGTTTTCTTGCACTAGGCACAAAAGCTATCAGGTATACTTAGCATGCGTCCTTTCACTTGTATCCACGGCCACGCAATACCAAATGTCATGCCATCTGCATGCCACTGGGTGTTTCTAAGTTTTTTGGTCAACTTGTAGTATTATTTCTTCCGTAGACATCTTAGTATAGGTTCGCTTAAGCGAAGAATTTAGTCACACGGACGATACAAAGGAATATTGGGCACAGTCATTTCCAATGCACAGTATTGTATGGTCGTCTGAGATGAAAGTGTTGAAACACCTTGAAGACTTCTAAGACCTTGAGAGGAGATCAATGAAAGCGTGATAAAACTTCGATGACTCTCCCTTTTAACTATTTTTGTTCACGAGTTATTCCTGTCGTTGGCGATTTGTAAATTTGTCACTCACTCGTTAACTTTGATATTTTAGGGCCTTAAAAACTGTTCCGAAGAAATGCGCGCTGATGAGGAATACATGGTATCCCTGTGGCAACACGAGATAGCACGAGTTGTGAAGGATCGCGTCTGCCGTTCCGTAGATATCAAATGGTTTGAAAAAACTCTGAAGACAGTCATTAAAGAGGTAAATATTAATAGCAAATCTTTTTAAGCTTCAGTATATCCTGTTCACATTTAAACAGCAGCAGGTGCTTAATAATTGCTCCTTTCAATTTATTTTCAGAATTTTCCTGAGCTGCCAGCCAACTCTCCATCTCCTCTCTTTATCACATTTCCTTTGGATGCAGGGCTTTATTCCCAGCGGCCTGTTACTCAAGGACGTGTGGCTCCCAAGGTTTGTTCAGTGTAGTCGCGTATTTCTATTTCTGACTTAAAAAACTGTGTTTTTCTAAAACTACGAAAGGGACAAGGGGAAGATGTGGAAACCTGTGATAAGGAAGGCACAGTGGTGAGATCACTCGCCTCCCACCATTTTGGCCTGGGTTCGAGTTCTAGCCTGGATGACATATGTGGGTTTAGTTTTTTTGCTTCGAGAGGTTTTTCTCCCAGTACTCCAGTTCTCCACCCCGTCCCCCACCCACTCCTCAAAAGCCAACACTTCCAACTTCCAATTCGATCTGGAACGCACGGACACGTTTTAACGAGTTCTTAAGAACTCCTAATTGCTTTGTGGCTGAACAAATTACAACTACCAAGTGTTTTGAATTGTTTATCCACGTCTTGGATATCTGCGGTGTTGCGGTGGTCCTTTCAAACATGTCTCAAGAAGAGTATACGTTGTCAGTAGCAAGAACAGGAAGGAATTTATTACCGGCAGTTTTAACGACGATAAATAAATTGTACATAGTTGATACGTCTTAATTTCTTTTTCAGATCCTTCTTCAAGCAATTAATAACATTGACGAAGTGTCACTGTGTTTGCAAAACTTCTTGAAACGGTATAATGATGAGTTCAGTGGCGAGGGGCTTGATTTGATGATATCAGGTCACGTTATGTTCCACGTAATTCGCCTACACAGAATCCTGAGTTACAAAAACAGGTAGGTAGTAACGGAGATGGACTTGCGTACGTGAATAATAATAATAATAATAATAATAATAATAATAATAATAAATTAACAGTCCTTCCAAGTCCACTCTTTTGTTCTCGAGGAAACCCATGACCGCAAGGAGACTGCCTTCTCCCAGACTACCCTAGCTGGAAGGGTTAGTATGACAAAGTGATGTTTCCACTTCAGCTTTTGAATGGTTAAATTAATGTCCTCAATTGTATAAGATTAAGAAATGGCGTTAAGCTAAGGAAACAAAAAAAAAAGGAAAAAAAAAAACCTAGAGGATTTCGGGGCAGTCAACAACCCCCAGAAATTTTTCCAGTTAAGTCCTGTATGGAAAACAATCGTAAAGGTTACGAGTGCTTTTGAATTTTTTTAATTTGTTTTATCCCATGTGCGGACGCCTTCCTTTTTAATCTTATCCTTACGCTTTCAAGTTCCCCTCGCATTGCTACATGTACCAACTCGCAGGCAGAAAACCTCAGGCCATATCTTTACTACTTACTGATCTCATCACGGAATTGTATTTATTGTTACAGAGGCAATGCATTGTTGATTGGGTCTATTGGCACTCACCTAAACTCCTTAGCAGCACTAGCCCTGTACATGTTGGAATACCCCATTCATCCTGTGGACTGTACCTATCCAAACACATTTCTTGATGGACTCAGATCAGCTGTACGTCAAGCTGGATGTGACGGCAAAACCACAACCGTCTTGTTTACTGTAAGTATTTGCTTCCTCTTGATGGGTCTTAGAAGAGTTCCAGAAAATCGAGATTCCTAACCTAATGTCCTATCTCTAATGATTTAGAAGTAGCACTTCCTGACACAGACATTGTGATTCTTCGTCCACCATACATTCCTGCTCAAACTGGAATTTGGAAATGTGGGTGTTTGAAGAGAGGGAAAAACCGGACTGCCTAGAGAAAAACCGCTCGAACCAACATCAAACTCAACCCACATCCAGGCCAGGACTTGAACCCAGGCCACATTAGTGAGAGGCAAATGCTCTTACAACTGCGCCACCCTTGCTCCCCACCACTGAGATTTTGCAGTTGAATGGGATATTTTAGGTTTATTTAACTTTAGATGAGCTCCTTTAGGACTTTCAGTTATGCCTTATCAACCAGTTATGGACCAAAGAGACTAGTAGCGAACAGCTGACTTTTTTGCTAAATTTCCACCATGCACAAGGCAGCAGGGTTTGACAGAGAACTCTTACTACTTAATAGAAAAATACGTTTCGGACCCACGTTTAGTGCTCCACGTCTTAGTCCAAGCACTTCTTAGACACACAAAAGTGCTAGGCGAGGAAGTCTTAAGCTATTCTGGATCTTTGATTCAGGCACCAGATCTTCGCGATGATATGTACCTTGATGCTCTGAACAGCCTGCTTGTCAGTGGAGAGTACCCACCATTGTTCTCTGTAGATGAACTGGACAGCCTACTACAGGTAATAAGTGATTAATAAAATGGTTCTGCATTTGTCCTTTTTTATATTATTTATTTGGTTGGTTGGTTTTTGTTGCCTGTAAGGTGTATTAGTTTTAAGTAACTTTCCTGTTAAAAGAGCACCTGATGATGGTGTGTTTTTCAAGGACTACAACGGCGACAACTAGGGAAACATCGTTTGGAAAACAAGTTTTGACTCTATAAAATAATAGAGGGTTTTTCATTTTCATGTTACGCGATAAAAGAAAATTAACCGTAGTTATGCTTGTGTGTTTGTTTCATTTTGTCAGGCTTTGATGCCCGCGATCAAGAAGAAGTTCTCCAACTTTTTGGCAGATCCTATGAAGTTTTTCATCACTCGAGTGAAGGCTAATCTTCACATCATTCTCTGTCTCCCACCCACCCATAGACTTCTCAGAATAGGCCCACGGTAAGGCATTCAGAAAGAATTGATTTGTAAGTGCACCATCAAGAGAAAGTTTTCTCTCTTTTGCTTAATTTCGATCATGGCACTTTTAAGGATAAAAGCGATGGTGCCATTGAAGTGATGGGACGTTAAGAAGCTATCGCTGGAGACCTGTGCTGTTGAATCCCTTGGTTATGACCTGTTGATGCTTTTAGCTCTGATGAGGGTTTGGCTTTCACTCTCCCAACGATGGCGCAGAATATTTGTTTAGACGCGGTCCCCTTGAACCAGAAGAAGGCCGTGGTCAAAGCTACTAAGCCTTTCACTACTGATTAATGATACCAATGTTCTTTTTTTGTAACATCCAGAGAAACGTACTTTGCAAAAGTTCCGC